AAATATTTTAAATAAAATATATATTCGATGCATTATATTGAATTTTTAACAGTTTCATTAGTAAAAATAAAAATTTTAAGAAGTCATCATGGCTCGTCTATGTTTCAAAATTTTGACTTTCTTGTGTAAAGCATTATGTTGTCGTGAAGAAAATTGTCCATGTAAAGAGTTAGATGATTTACTTTGAAGATTATGATTATTCCTTTTTTGTCTCTTTTGTTTAGGCTTTCCAAAATCCTTGCATGACAAAAAATACAAAATTACTTAAATATGATATTATATATTTACATGCTTTTAAATATTGTAATGATATCAATAAAAAAAAAAAGAAGAAAAACTCACCTTCTTCCCATTGTTTTTGGCACTTTAACCCAACACTAACCACACATGGTATGTCCCCCACCATTTGATAATCAGTTACCATTTTTGGTCACAAAAAACCCATTTTCTTGTAGTGACAACAGTAAACAAAATTCCTACCCACACCTATAAATTACTAAATATGATAACTTTTTTAAAAATTATGCCTACCACTTTCAGATTTTGTATTAATTTGGGAAAAAATATATATTATAATACATAACCAACTATTTTAAAAAGAGATAGAGATTTAATCTGTGGCTAACATACTATAAATCACAAATAAAAATTGTGCCTCCAGTAATGGATAAAAAATCTTATTAAAAATTGTGATTCAAGTTTATGATAAGGTGTAACAACAGACAAAAAGTAGAGGGATCTTGAAATGGATTACAAGGATTAAGTACTTATTGTACTCAAACTAATAATATTATTATTATTTACAAAAAATAATAAGAATAAAATAAATGATTTTACCTTGACATTATGAAAATAACAAATAAAAAAATCTTTAATGATATGTTATTATTTAAAATTGTATAATTCTCTTAATCGATCATGAAAAAATAAAGTAAGAATTTGAATTTTTTATAATTTTTTAATATTTAAATCGGTATAAAAATATTATTATTTTAATTGTCAAGAAAAACTATTTTAGAAGTATTCTATATGCTACTTCAATCTTTTTAGGATTTGTTTATTTATTTATTTTACATTAATTTTAATTAAGTTTTCCTAAAAGTCGCAAATAGGTCCCAACACAGGTTTGGTGCCGACACCACATGGTTTGGTGTCGACACTATTTATTAAGAATTCTAACCTAAATTCCTATTATGCAAATCAGCTCCAAGTTAGGGCAGCCACCTGTCATTTTTTTTACACATCAGCAATTTACTGGGCCCCCTAGATAGAATCTATTTGCCAAATCAGCATAGACATCTAATTAATCCTTGAATAGTAAAATTAAAAAAGTAATATCCTTGTTTAGAAATTTTTTAAAGGTAATAACCTTGATTAGTTTAATAAAAAAATGATATCTTTAATTAGAAAATTTTTTAAAAGTAATGTCTTTATATGTGTAAAATCTCAACAAATTCGTTAGTATATTTTATATATATTTAAAATAAAAACAAAAATAAAACGTCATTAGACCTAAAATTATAAATTACTAGACCTAAAATTTAGAAGTGAAACTGTGAAAGGCAGTAAGGATGGTTAGGTTCCAATCCGGGTAGGGGACTTAAAATTGTCGGCTTTTAAATTTGTTTTAAATTTCAATTTCAATAGTTAATATCCGAACTCTTACCAATCCCATTTGCAAATGTCCGACCAAAATTGTTTTAATACCAATTCCAGCAGCAATATGGATGTATTTTTTCTACTGTACTTTAGTAATCAACTAATTAAACAAATTGTTTTCTTGGTCATCCCTGGAAAAAAAATGTACAAGTACAAAAACAAATAGCCCAAAATCCAAATTTTCATCACAAAAAATTTGTTATTTATATACTTTTATCCTCGAGATATGCCACATGCACGCGAATGATCCCATTTTTTCTTTTACTATCTCTTTAATTCATTGGGACACATAATTAATTACTTTTAAACTTATTTTTATTTTAATTAAAAATGATATATTAATTATAATATCACATAATATTATTTAAACTCTCAAAAAAGCAATTTATGATCGGTAGATAATCCAATAAAAATTATTTTCAATCCTAATTGCATCAACAATAATGAATATATTTTTGCTATCTTACTTTAATAATTAACCAAATCAAACCGTTCACTTGATCATCCTTTTAAAAATACAAATACAAACTACAAAAACAAATAGACAATCATCCAAACCTTCATCACTTAAAAATTTGTTGTTTACATTACTTTTATCTTTGAGATATTTTGTATATCGTGCTATTTTTTCTTTTGCCACCTTTTTAGATGGGATATATAATTGCTTGTTTTTAAACTTGCTTGTAATCTCAATAGGACAATAACCAAATTTTCAATAAGGCGATTTGGGTGGCGAATCCAACAAAAATTGTTCTTAATCCAATTCTACCTACAATAATGGATATATTTTTTGCTACTTTAGTAATCAATCAAAGATCAAAAAGTGTTTTCTTGATCATTCTCATAAATAATAATTTACTTTCATCATCTTTTTAAGTAAGATATGTAATTGACTACTTCTAAACTTGCTTTTTATTTCGGCAGCTCGATATCCTAACTTGCTTTTAATAAACAATGAGAATGACTTCACTTTAATTCTTCAAGACCATAAATGGCTATATATGGGACTCCTCACAGTGTGTTGAGCGCACAAGGGAGCCTAATATATATCAGTGTAATTGTCAAACGGCCAGACATGGGTTTTGCCTATCTTTACAACAACCTCAAAACTCTTCTTCTCCAAGGCATGAGAGAAGTGGAGACTGGTGGCGGAATTGACTGTGATTTGCACTCGATCCTTTGGGAGCCTTAATGGGAGCATTGTAGATAAATTTGGTGAAGGGCCAACATATAAGTGACACTCCTCCAGAAAACACCTACTGTTTGTTGTAGGCCTGATTGTAAGAGAAGCTACACAGATGGGTACGTGTTTAGACTTTAGAGCATCATAGCCATATGCAGAAAGCAAAGAGGAGCAGTTTACGGCTTTTAATCCCTTGCAAGGAACTTTATATAAGACATCTAATCCATGTCATAGATTAAACCAGGATTTCTTGCGCGCTCTAGAGGGATTCACTTTTCAAATTAAAAGGGGATTCACTTTCCAAATTAAAAAGGTTGGAAAGGGAAATGATTTTTGTATAATTTTTTATTTTATTTTTTTGTATAATTTGACATATTATTTAAATAATTGATTCTTTTAATTCATGTAAAACTCATGATATTAAATATATTCATTTATTTAATAATATATAAAAATTATATCAAAAGATAATATAAAAAAATTATCCTTAACATCAACCGAATAGGGAAGTGAGGCGCGAAAGAAAAGAAAAAGGAATTTAAAGTGGAACCCATGGCTTTGATCCAATTCCAGAAGCCCACATCTGAAACCCATAAGCCCCAATCCAGAACCTATAAGGCTATATAACCTAACCTTAAACCTTGTCAAATCCGGCCCATACTCTTTTCCTTGACCCTGTAAACAAAAACCTAAGATCAACCACCAGGCCCACCCTCATTCCCTTGGGCCTCGGCAGCTTCTCCCTCGACTTGATCCTTTCCCTCCTCCGATTCAGGTTGCTCCCGCCGCCATGCACATCATCTTCTCGGCAACGGCGGAATCGAAGGGGAAACACTCGACCGCCATACCGATCCTTCACCCGGACTCTCCCTCTGCAAAAAAGGTAGTTCCAGCGCACTTTCCTCCATCTTGGTCTCCGGTCACCATTTTTCCCTTCCTCTGGCTCCAGACACCCTCCGCCAGCTGTCAAACACCGTTGCGCCCTCTTTTCCTCTCCGCCGCTTACGGCTGGGGAGGGTCAGAAGTTTCTTGGCTTTCCGAAACGGAGGGAATCAGTCTCCGCAATTTGGCCGCGGAAAGGTTTGCTCATTGATTTGTTTGAGTGGTTTCTCACTGATTTTGTGTGTTTCATACTGAATAAGAGTGTATAGTGCCTTG